AAGGTCAGTAATATCGCAACGAGTTTTGTGTTATTATTGACATATTTCATATCCTCAAGTAGGGAATGCCTATATCTTGTGATTTTTTACTCTCAAGTAAGAGTTAATTTTTGTGATATTTTCCCTTTAGTTAGGGTTGTCAAAGGTTTCTTGGCAAATTCATGTTTCTCACAGGTATCCAATGGCCGCTTCCTTTGTATTTTCACTTCAATGTTCACAAGGGAGTCAAGTCGTTAAGACAATTGTCTGTATTACCTCTCGGGTACATACAGCGTTGCCACATAGAGCATAGAAGTTTTTCCGCTCAGTCGATAAAACAGTGTCGATGTAAAAGTCTGTTATTTTTGAATAACAAATTTAGAATTGAACCGCTAGGTGGCTTTCGACTCAAGTTTAGAGAAATAACCTCTTTTCTTGTCTAAGGAAATAACAGCGAACAGTTCCAGTTTAAACATAACCTAATTGGTTATTGTTTTTTAAATTTTTTCTGTGATGTTCTCTTATAGGGCACTCCAACGAACTGTCAAAAATGAAATAAATATGGTTGCTGCAGGATAAACAAACGTAAGTTTACCATGTATCCTTATGGAAATTTGAAGTATTCCAATATAATTTGTTAATTTTATGTATTGGAATGCCCGCATTTTGCTGTGTGGTAAATTGTAGCAGTAGTGTTAGTTGCTCGGCAACCCTCAGAGTTCTCGACTTGTAATTAAATATAATAATTTATTTGCTTATTCTTTGAATTTATACGTCTGTTTAGTCAATACAAAAAGAACATTTAAAACGCTTTTGAAATAGAACTCTAAATAGCAAGAAGTATATGGGCAACCGGCTTGTTTCTCCTGCAGCGGCCATTAAAATCGATTTGTTGGACTACCCTATTATTTGCACAAGATGGAGATGTTTCGGACAAAGAAACCATACTGAATGAAGACCTATTAAAAATACTGGGTGCAAACGACAATATTGTACCCAGTACCAGTAATAAGGTTCACTCAACAGTAGCAAAAACATGGACAAGCATCCTAAAAAAAGGCCTCACCCCTGAGACAGTGAGACTGTTAACAGGAAAATACCCACCCATGGCCAATTGTGATTTAGTAGCCACCTCCTAAGGTAAATCCAGAAGTGTTTCTATCAATTACTGATAGCATAAGGCAAGGGACTCACGATTAGCCAACATGCAGAACTGCTAAGGTGGAAGCATTACAGCAATTGAGAAAGTATTAACAATCCTTTTGAAAGATACGGTGGGGGGGGGGGAGGGGCGAAAATAATATTCAGCTTTTGAATGGCTCAGTGACGCAGGGAGATTACTAACCAACGTTCACCATTCCCAACCAGAATCCAGAAGAATTCTGGTGAGTGCAGATCTAAACAAGAATTATAGATACTCTGACCAATGCTTCAGTTGAAGGGTGGCTTTTTAGTGAAAATTTAAGTAAAAGGGTGAAAGCGGCAAAGGCTTTAGAACGGTCTTCGGCAGATTTAAAACCTGCAAAAAGCCAGACAAGACGTCTAAGAAAAATCTACCTCAAAAGGGGGGAAAACCGTCAAACTCACGTGGGTGCTATTTAAACTCGAAGAGTCTGTCTCGGTACTCAGCGTTGGCACCCAAACGTCACGTCAGAACTTAGGCAGACAGAAGGGAACGAATCGGAATCAAACGAGATACAATTACGCCAGAACAGACCGTCAACATCGGTCGCAATAGAGGTAAGTGTTTGCAGTAGATTACAATTTTGCCATCAAGCATGGAAAAATTTAACCTCAGGCCCACTAATTCTTTCATGGATCCATGGATATAAATTGCCATTATTAAAAAAACCCAAACAAAGAGCAATTCCTGTGGAGCCCCATTGGTCTAAGGCAGAAAGAAAACTCATCAATGATGAAATTTCAAAATTACACAAAGCTGGTGTTGTTTCAATTTGTAGCCCCAAGAAAGGCCAATTTTTTTTAAAAATATTTATTGTGCCTAAACCAGATGGCTCAAGAAGGCTAATTTAAACCTAAGAAAGTTGAATTGTAACGTGTCTTCAGAACATTTTGAGCTCGAAAATCACAAGACTGTTATCAGAACTGTAACACCTCATTGTTTCTTGGCTACTATAGACCTCAAAAATGCCCATCATCTTATACCTATAGCTTTAGAAGATCGAAAGTTCTTAAGATTCTCTTTTTTAGGAAGATTATACGAATATAATTGCATGCCATTCGGTTTGAATACTGCACCATGGGTATTTACAAAATTAATGAAACCAGTCAAGGCGATCTGTTATATACCTTGATGATTTTCTAATCATTGGCTGTTCATATCAAGAGTGTAAAAAATATATCTGAAACTTTATCTTTACTCTCTTCATTAGGTTTTATTGTTAATGTTGCTAAATGTCAACTTACACCTTGTCAGAAGTGTACATATCTTGGTTTTATATACGACAGCAATAATATCAGTTTGCCTAAAGGGAAACAAATAAAAATTAAAAACCTAATCTCTAAATTTAAAAGGGAAAAATCTTTCAAAGATTTTGCTAGACTTCTAGGGACATTGAATTCTATCTGCCCAGCAAATCTTAATTCCTCTCAATCTTTTGATTTCACATTAGAGATTTTCACAGATGCATCTTTGACAGGTTGAGGTATTGTTTGTGGAAACAATAGAACTCATGGACACTGGAATCCACATGGAAAAGATCGACACATTAACTATCTGGAGCTATTAACGGTTTATTTTGCCTTAAAATGTTTTGCGTCAGATAGAAGTAACATAGAAATTTTGTTTCGGGAAGATTATACAACTGCAATTTTGGAAATTTTGTGAAGAACGAAACCTATGGATATTTGCATCTTATATCCAATCTTACAAAAACATAGAGGCTGATGCAGAGTCCAGAAGATTGAAGTTAGAAACTGAATATGAATTATCTGATCAAGCTTTTCTTGAGATCTCAAACACTATTTTGTCCTGACGTATATATTTTTGCTAGTCGCATTAACAAAAAGTTTAGCAAATTTATATCATGGTATGAAGACTCTGATGAAATGTTAGTTGATGCTTTTACGATATGTTGGAAAAATCTCAACTTCTATGCCTTTCCACCATTCACATTAATACCCTGTGTTCTGCAAAAGATTATTGCGAACAAAGCCACTGGTATTGTAGTGGTACTTCAATGGCCAACCCAAGCTTGGGTTTCCGATATTTACATCTCTTTCAATCAAAGATTCTATAATTTCTGCACCTAATAGTGATTTTCTCACTTCTTCAAATAGGGAACCACACCCATTATGGAAGAATTTTACCCTGGTAGCCGGTCTTTTATCAGGGAAGGACTAAGGAACAATGGTGTGCCCACAGAAACTATAGGAGTTATGATATCATCCCTATCAAACTCTTCACTTAAACAATACAACAGTGGACTAAAATTTTGTTGGCAGTTTTGCAAGGAATCCAATCCTAATCCATATCACAATTCTTTTAAAAATATCTTGGATTTTTTGACTCTTCAATTTAAAAAGGGTGCTTCATATGTAACTTTAAACACTATGCGGTCAGCACGATCGCTTTTAATTGGACCAACTATAGGGTCAGATTTTAGAATCAAGAGATTCTTTAAGGGAATTTTCAGAATAAAACCACCTACCCCAAAGCTGGAGACAACATGGGGGTACTACAATTTATCTAGAGGAGAAGGCGCTTCATAAAATTAGGATAGAACTTTACTAGGTAAGTTCGTTTAATCTTATAATTATATAGCTATAATAATAATGAAATAAATAAATCCTTCCATTTGCTCACTTGCTGAAATGAACATATTTTTTTATGTAGGTACCTAGACAGAACACAAAGTCTTAAATACGTCTTTTTTAGGTTTCCATTACGTCTGAAGACGAAAAAAGACGTCTAGAAGATGGAGATGTCCATGAGATGTCATAAATTCAGATCTTGAAGACAACTAGGTATTTGGTACAACCAGGGAACCAGGCTTAAAAGTAAATAATGGTTTATGTATTGAAAAGAGATTCAAGGACGTCTTTAAGACATCTCGTTGAAGACGTATTTAGAACGTCTCAGTCCAGGTTTTGTAACACACGACACATCATTTGTTTTCCATTCAATTTAGAAGTTACTGGAAACCATTTATAATGTCACAGAACACTTTAGAACGTCTGCCTAAAATCGTCTTTAGGGCCAAGACATTTTAAAGACGTCTTCAACAAGATGTCTCAAATTTGAAGACGTCTTTGAATCTCTTTTCAATAATAAAACCTCGCATAAACCGTTATTCACTTTTAGGCCTACTTGTATCTAATAAATAGTTGTCTTTAAGATGTGAATTTACGATATCTTATAGACATTTTCAAAACAACGTCTTTTAAACATATTGTTTTGTTCTCCAGACGTTCAGACGTAATGCAGACCTGCGTGTGTCTGAGGACAATCTGACAACGTTGAAGCATTTACTAATTTGAGGTACCTATCATTATTGCTTGTTGGAGTAAACGACGTCATACATCATATTCGGTTGATGTTTTGGCATTTGAAATAGGTACTGCCTTGAAAGTAGGAATTTAAGTATGCTGTCTTTCCATTGAAGTACCAGTTCTAAACTTTAACCAATCCAAACAGCTTACTGGTAGATACATACATAATTATCAAATTTATTTACATCTGTAACCTACATAAAACATTTTTTCAATAAACAGCGACATTCGAAAAATTAAAATTTCCTATGTACATTTATGTGATTATTGAACAATCAACATCCTCAAACCCTGACCTAAAAAATCGAAACTGCAACTTGCAAGTTCAAAACGGAACAAAAAAAAAAAAAATTGTTTTCCGCAAATTTTCACCTGGAGGACATCACGAAACGGCTCGGTAAGGACACCGCCACCGTCGCGGTGGCGCGCGACTTGCTGATAGTGGGCAACGACCCGGTGCATCTATAAAAACAGTGCCGCGCTCGAAGGCGCTTCCAGTACGCTTTTAAGCTAGGTCTAACAACAAACGCGTTGTGGCAGTAGCAAAAACCCGATCACCACGTGTGACCCAGTTTTTTTACCGACATCCCACTCCTACTAGTGTACTAGGTACTTTGTGTTTTGACTTAAAGAAAAAAAATTAAGTTAGTGCCTTAACTCCAAAAAGACTGACATACAAAAAAAAAACTCTTTTCAAAAAATAATAGTGAACTAGAGGACGTGATATACTCTGTGTGATAGTAGATACTAGAAGCTTAATTTATTTTATCATTAATAATATTATTTGAATACTGACTCAATAATCATGCCAGCTCCAGTGGAAGAAACCAATAACAACCACATCCTGGATACCGCCAACGAGGAAAATCTGGAAGACTTGATACCATCATCCAAAAATCTTGATCCAAGAGACTCTATCTCATCAATTGATAGCGATGTAAGTCTTTCTTATGACCGTAAAGGTAGCCTCGAAGACTCCCAAATCGCTGAAAACGAAGATGAAGGTGCTCATATGGCAGACTTATCCGATAGCTCTTCTGACAATGGCTCTGCAGGAGGCGGCAAAGATTCTGGATGCGAAGTTACTCCCGAAGTTACCGAACCACCATTCAATCCTCCAAGTGACGAATTAGCCGACAAAATCTGTCAGCAAGTCGAATTTTACTTTTCTGATGCTAACATTACTAAAGATGCCTTTTTACTGAAACACGTGAAAAGAAACAAGGAAGGATACGTTTCTTTGAAGTTGATCTCTAGCTTCAAGAGAGTGAAGCATCTAACAAAAGACTGGAGAGCTGTTGCTCACGCTCTAAAACGCTCAAATAAGTTAGAGATTAACGAAGCCGGAACTAAACTTAGAAGATTAGAACCTCTTCCTAAATACGATGAAACTACACCATCGAGAACAGTAGTGGCTGTTCATATGCCCATCGACAAACCAACCATCGAAAATGTAGCTGAACTTTTCAAAAATTGCGGTGAAATTGCTCTAATTAGAATTCTAAGACCTGGAAATCCAATTCCAGCAGACGTAAGACAATTCATCAACAAAAATCCATCTTTGGCAGGTTTGGTATGTGCCCTTGTAGAGTTTGTAGCATCGGAATCGGCAAGAAACGCAATGCAATTGCCGAACACTTTGGGAGAACCTATGAAGGTTTATGAATTGAATAATGTACCTCATCCAGAGAGAAAGAAGAAGTCTAACAACAAAAAGGCTAATAATAATATGCAATACAGTAAAGGATTCATTTCTGAGTCTGATTATATTAGTTCATCTTGTCAAAGTGGATCAGAAGCTGAGGAAATTAGGAAATTTGATCCAAGAGGTAAGAAATTTTCTATATTCAGTTGTGAAAGTTTTTACTTAATAATCAGCTTTCGTTCACGCATGAGATCATAAGAAATAGTCGCAAGCCGTAATTGTTTATATGATAAATCAATGTAGTGAATAAGCATAATCGTAGGTGGTTAATTAAAAGTGTGCAATTTCTCTAACCACATTATGGTCGGTCAGGGGCGTGAAGTTGCATTCAATGTTAATTTTCCCATTTTTTTTTTTATGAGATTCTTGAATGTGGTTGCCTGGTACGTTCACCTTTCTTTAGTCAAGTGGAACGAAGAAAACAGTTAGCAGAATAATATTGTTTCTGCTGGTCTAGGGTCTAGTGAAGTAAATTCTGGAAAATGCGGGTGATAATGTTACAGTTAGATTTTTAGTAATTCAAGCTTCTATTGCTAGATAATTCGAAAATTAGTTAAATGTTGCTCATTTCATCAATTAGAAAAAAATACATAATCTTGGTGCCAAATTAGGTGTAAAAATAGATAATTTTTTGGCTTGACACGGGTCAAAATACCACGACAAATAAAACCCTCCAGAATACAATTGGTTGTAGTTCAAGTGTTTACTTTCTATTTTTGAGTAGGTACTTTAAAATTTTTATCAACTGTACAATTTGAGCAAGATATTAAATACATGTGGGATCCATTTAACAATGATATTTTCCAGCCTCCAGGGGGACTTTTATTAGTATTCCTCGGTTTTTGTTTTTCTTGATCGGATATTAATGACTCATATTATTGAAATGCGATTAATACACTAGTGACAATGTGTTGAATATGTAAATAATAATTATATTGCCAATATTTTCTATCCTAAAAAAATAATACCCAAACAACAGCGACCAATTTTTTTTTTTAAAAAATGAAAAATAAAATCCAAATTCGAGAAAATACTATAAAACTCACGTTGCACAAGGAAATATGTGGCCTTCTGCAACTTGTATTTTAATATAATATTCTCATATGTTACATGTAAAAGTATTTTGACTTATATATCTTTCTGCTGAATTAAAAAATTATCAACTTATTCCTTCCCAGGAGCGGATACAGGCTTTTTGAAAGTAGTTTAAGTTAAAGTTAGCCAGATTGGGTTAGCTTGGGTTAGTTTTGGCAGCGCATTCTGCAAGATACGGTTTTTCGAAAGAATGGCCTATAAAAATATGGGAATGGGGGTTCTATTTAGGAGAATAAGGTGATTTTAAATAGGTAGGTACAGGTACAAACGAAAGGATTGTTGCGGAACTTATGGGTGGACCTAGGCATCTATTCACCAATATGTTGTTCAAGTACAATACTAACCTGATTCACTCTGTGGTGAATTTTTCTCATTAGTTCAAAAACTATACGTTTCAGGTGAGTATCTTATTTGAACAGTTCAACAGTATATTGGTGAGTAGATGGCTGCGGAACTCGCTGCGCTCGTTCCGCAGAGGTCCACCCATAACTTCCGCAATAATCCACTTATTTTTACACGGTGTTTTCTTTATATATTGACACCTTTCCTACAGCCTTTACCTTTACAGGCAAAAGAAAGGTGTAAATACAAAATTTGTACAGTTTTGGCTGAATTTTTAGAAACCATGGTGAGAAACAAAATTTGAATGTCAGAAATGTGAAATTTAACATGCTTCCAGGTTTTTTCAAATGGGATACCCTATATTTCATTCTATATTCTTGAAAAGTACAATGCCCCGATTCCAAAAATATATAGTTTGTCTATATTCGATTAAACAGTCTCTCATATATTCGGCTCCAAAAATTGTAAAAATACTATCCTACTACTGATTTTGTGAACCATTCTACCTATACAGGTGAAAGCTGCAGATAAAATTTGAGGTACTTGGTTTCTCTGATAGTATTTTTAAATTTTTAGAAACAATTATTTTGGAGACGGCTCAACCAAATATAGACACTGTATAGTTTTGGAATCGGGAAATTGTGCTCTTCAAGAATATAGAACCAAATATAGGGCAACTCATTTGAAAAAAGCTGAAAGCATGCAACATTTCACATTTCTGACATTCAATTTTTGTTTCTGACCATGGATTCTAAAAATTTAGCCAATATTGTACAACTTTTGTAATTACACCTTTCATCTACTTGTAAAGGTGAAGGCTGTAGGTGGGGTGTCAATATATAAAAAAACACCCTGTTCATTCAAGTACAAACGAGTGGATTGTTGGTTCCGCAGCCATCTATTCATCAATATGTTGTTTAATTACGATACTAAACTGACTCACTCAAATGTGCGTTATTCTTATTAGTTTAAAAATTACACATTTCCGGTGAATGTCTTACTTGAACAGTTCAATAGTATATTGGTGATTAGATGGCTGCGGGACGAGCGCAGCGAGTTCCGCAGAGGTCCACCCATAAGTTCCGCAACAATCCACTTATTTGTACTTGAAAAATAACTTTTTATATAAAGTCAGAATTTGTAAGATTATCCACTTTATATCAATTGGCCTTTTAACAGGAATAAGTAATGTTACTTTACCAAACTAGTAATATATTGGCACAAGTTATTCAAGTACAAACGAAAGGATTGTTGCGGAACTTATGGGTAAACCTAGCCATCTATTCACCAATATGTTGTTCAAGTACAATACTAACTTGATTCACTCAGTTGGGAATTTCTCTCATTAGTTCAAAAACTACACGTTTCAAGTGAGTGTCTTATTTGAACAGTTCAACAGTATATTGGTGAGTAGATGGCTGTGGAGGTACACCCGTAAGCTCCGCAATAATCCACTTATTCGTACAGGGTGTTTTTTTTTTATATATTGACACCCCACCTACAGCCTTTACCTTTGCAGGTAGAAGAAAGTTGTAAATACAAAAGTTGTACAGTTTTGGCTGAATTTTTAGAAACCATGGTCAGAAACAAAATTTGAATGTCAGAAATGTGAAATTTTGCATGCTTCCAGCTTTTTTCGAATGGGATGCCCTATATTTTATTCTATATTCTTGAAGAGCACAATGCCCCGATCTATATTTAATTGAGCAATCTCTCATATATTTGACTCCAAAAATTGTAAAAATACTATCCTACTACTGATTTTGTGAACCAAAAAACACCCTATACATAATCTTATTGATTTTGTATGAATATTTATTTATTAGAACAAAAAAAAAAAACAATACATCAATTCAACCACTAATGATATAGTGTTTGAGGTTAAAGTTCTTGGGACAAAGACAAAAGTGTGATTTTTTTAAAGGCTTCCAACTTTCTTAACATTCTTAAAACTTAAAATATCATTTTGTTTGCCCCCTACTGTATCCGCTACTGTTCCTTCCTTATCTAATTTGTCAAATTAATTATTAATCATTTATCTAGTTCTCTTGTTAAGTCCAATTCAATAAAAACGGGTTTCACTGATATTAATTATCTTTTTTTTTTGAACCATTATTTCATTAAAGAAAATTGACATAACTTTTAATTAATGACTTTATATTTATGAGAAAGCTCTAGCTAAGAGAGAGTTATTGGAACTATTAAATACTGCCTCGCAGTATTAAGGATCTACGTTATTTTATTAGTGCATCAGCACTATTTTTCCAAGAAAAAAACAGTTTTTGGAAGACTGTAGCAGGTGCTAGACTATTACCTTATTTTGTATTCATAATTTTGACAGATGATAGCTATGTTTATAAATTTCAGCCTCAAAAAGTGTTTTTCTACTACCGTGCGTAGAGTACTCACTTTACGCACTATTCAGAAGATGTAAAATTTCACTTCACGCACTAGTGCGTAAAGTAACTCACTTCACACACTAGTGCGTAAAGTAATGTCAATGACAGATGTCAACACTGTCAATTTGGCATTTTTCGGGTAAATTACTTCACGCACTAGTGCGTAAAGTATTTGTCCAAATTTATTTTTTTACACTGATTGGTAGTAGAAAAAAATTTGTATGCAATACGTGCGTAAAGCACCTTTTTTCACTTATGTGATTGTCACACTCGCCTCCGGCTCGTGCGTCAAAATTCACATTCGTGAAAAAAGGTTCACTTTACACACTTGTTGCATAAATAACTATTATTTTTGTTTGTGATTTTCTGCTGATACTCATTTTTTGATGTTAACCTCAGTAAAATGGAAAACTATTGTAAAAAATAAATTTTCTAAGTAAAATTACGTCATCGTCGAAAAGCAAAACGTCAAAGTCGTCCAAAATGTCAGAGATTTGAAATAAGGGAAGTTTACTGCCTCGCACTAACCATACACAAATAAAGACAAGCAGTAGGTAACCTTATTAAGGGAATCCTTAGTTTCGGACCCAAATGCGCATGCGTAGATATCAAAATAAGCCTAATTTAAGTACTGCTTATCCTAATTGCACGTCCAATAACTCTCTAATATACGCAGCTATTTCAGTAAACTAATCAGGTAATTTTGACTCATTAAAAAATAAAAGCTAACTATATTTCATTGTAATATATATATTGATTTTTAGTGCAACGATTAGTTAATTTGCCAATGGCTCAAAATATGGTAAATTATTTGTATGACACATCGTAATTAGTAATAACAAATACCTAACCTAGTTAATTAGAAAAACAAGTTGTTTTTTTCTTTTAGTTTAACATTAACACGTGCTAGTTTTTACTTTAAACGTACTAAACAATACCCATAATTATTATGTAGATAAAAAGGTATTTACCGAAATAGTTTACTATATTTAGAAAGCTTAATTATCGAATTAATTGTGAAGATGATAAATCGTATTTTAATATACAATTTATAGTATTATCAATCATTATGTTTTAATTAATTGGAGATATTCTTGTTTTACATTATATTTCAAAGCACCAGACTTCAAATATAAGATTATCAAAAAGCATGTTTAGTTTAAAACATCTATTTATTAAAATAATGCTTGATTGGGAAACATACATCTTTGAGCTAATATGACCTGTTTTCTACACTCTCTCTTTTATTATTTCCAGGTAAAATGCGTAGAGGTTCCTCAGCCCACTTCCCATCCCGTTTCATTGAACCAGCCGCCTGGCTCCAAAGACGCCTATCAGCTTCATCTACAGAAGCCAATTTCCTCTACATGCCCCGTAGACTTTCGTACAGTTCCAGAGACTCGAGCGATTCCAGCCTATTCTTACCACGTAGAATGAGCGCTTGCAGCATTTCCAGCAACGACAGCTTCCACAACAGAAGAATGTCCTCGGTCAGTCAAATATCCGAGGCACCGTCTAACCGTTCCAGAAGTAACAGTTCGGCATTCCAGAATGCCGAGAACGTTTTGAGATTGCCCAAAGGACCCGATGGTAGTAGAGGATTTTGTAGGCAGAAGCCCAGCCTTCCAACTGTAGTACAGTAAGAGTTTTTGAGTATAGTTTTTAGTGGTTTTGTATTTCTGTAAGGATTTCGATTTTTGATAGTGTGATAAGCCAAAAAGTTCTGGTCTTTTTATGAAAAGAGTATTTTTGTTAGAATATCTGCGCGAAGTGTTTTTTAAGAATTGAGCGACAATAATTATCAGATTCTCAATACCTACGCGACGTAAGTATCTTATATACAAACTTTTCACTTCCTTTATCTTTTCAAATAACTTAAATTTAATTTCAATTTCCGCTATAATTAATTTAAAGTGAAAGCGCGTAAAAATTTGATTGATTTTTCAATACCATAAATTTATACAAAAATCTATATTCCCATGATGTAGATCCAATTCAAGGCAAAATTTAAATCAGGCTTGACATTTTATGTTTATAACAACCATAAAATACCCATTGATGGGTAGGTAGGTAATCCAAATAATCGACACGTAATTTAATTACTGATGTTCCGTTTTAATCTCAAGGTGAAAACAATACGATTTATTATTATTATTTTTGTCTAAGTGCAATTTGTTATAAAATTTGCAATACGATCAAGGTTAATAGTGTGCGAGAATGATTTTTTACGTTTCTAGTCCAAGAGCGGTTTGTTTCGTGTTCAATCTAATAAATTATCATGTTTGTTTAATTTTTATGGTTTAAATATTTTGTTTCTCTTAGAAAAGGTTTGTCATGGAATAGTTTTGGTATATTTATTCCTTCGAAACTCAGATCTTATTTTATGATAGAAGGAACACCCTTATTTCTTCTGCAATGAGGATAGTTTTCGACAATATATAAATTTTATGAAAAATCTCGTATCTATGTTAGTCCAGGTTCACATAAAGTATGTGACAAATTTTGATTTTGAAAAGAAAATATATCTTTTGGCCATTTTGGCCAGTTATCTTATCATTGGGTTTCATTACCCATTGATCCAACTCACCCAAAAAAATCCTTTGCTACATCAAAGAACGATCAAAAATACAAAACATACATATGTTGCTCCTATAATATTGAAACTATTTGATTTTTTCAGGAATACTAAACGGAATCAAAGAGCCTTTGTCCTTTTCGTCTCACCATAGAAAAATCCGCTAAACTATATCAAGGTTTTCAAATTAGTCCACAAATGACATCATAATAATTTCTATAGAATGATTTGTGATGGGTTCTGAATCATTTTTCGTTCACTTACTGTTCTTGAGAACCTTGAAAGCAGGGTTCAATGAATTTACCGGATCAAGTGCTGACCCAAAAAGCGTGCTCTTGGTGCCATGGTAAACTGGGTAACAAGAAAAAGTAGTGGGTACCAACTAACAGATGAAATTGATTCTGTTTAATATTTTTAATAATTAATTAGTAGATATGCTTTAAATATCCTTTTACGTTTTATATATTTATTTCACGCAATATGACATATTTTTTGATGCAAATTTACATTAGAAGTATTTTCCAATGTTCGTATGTAGCATACACATTATTTGACTCGAAAAACAATAATTAGATCAGAAGCCCAGTTCAAAACATTTTTTTTTAAACTAAAGCCAATAGGTAACGGTTTCTCAGGTTGTATTGAACCCAAAAAGGAAAAATTAATTCTTGCACTCAATTAACCAAAACCAATTGCAAAGGCGCTGGTTCGGTTGGTTCTCGTCCTACATTTCAAATCTAGATGCTTTCACTTCAAGTTCACAAACGCGAGACTCGTTTACCAATTAAATTTAAAAAATATATGTTTTTATAGAAAATAGAAATCTTTAAATGAAAATTATGAATCGTTTCTGATATGCTTCGGCATTTTTTTAAAAATTAACCACTAGATTTGTGAAGGGAACGTTCAAATCTCGACAGAAAGTATGGATATGGTAAAAAATCAATCTTGATTTTATATGCTGTTTGCAATAGAAACATTTAAAAATTAACTTGGATCGCCTTTTCATGGTGGGTATTTATTATTTGAAGATTTCACTGAAGGCAACAAGGTAAATATGCAAAAAACCCTGTTTCCCAGGATTTTTATTTTCAATTTCTCCTGTTAACAAATTTTTATTCAAAAAACTAAACAGAACAAAATCTATTAGTATTATCCGACTACTCCCTACATTCCACCATGGAACGTTTTACGAATAATGAAATGCGCTTCAAAACCGTATCTAAAATACATTCTATTTACGTACAAGCTCTACTACTTTCTATAAAATTTGTTTGGCTTCGATATGCCTTAGGAGAAAGCTTATATACTTACAATCCGTATTAAATTAGGCATAAAGTATGCTTGTCTTTTACTATCGCCTTTCTTTTTCGAACTGTTTATTTTTTACTTTTTAGACTCTTGCTTGGCAATAATTTAATATTTTTTTTATATACTCACCTACCTATTTATGATTTCTCTTTCATGATTGATGATGATGTATTATCGCTCGATTCATTTAAATACTATTTTGTATCTGTTTTGTTCTAAAAGCAGTCCGATTTAGTTTTGTTAGCTTATTTGTCTCTTTTTTAAGGCTTTATTGAATTGTGTCTTATTTTTTTTTTTGCTCTTAGGTACCTAGTAGTAGTTTAATTTTAAATAATTATTATTTTTGATCTAACATTAGTAATCACTCACTAAAAACTAATATTTAGATCAATAATGATAATGTTCTATGAAAAAGGATTAAACTTTTACTCCCTATTTCTTTCTTTGTATATAGAGTTTATATTTATTGTACTTATTTATTTTTATTTTAGTTAATAAATTTACTTTCAAAAAATACCTATATTGTTTATTTTGTAACCTCCATCCTCTCCTAACAAAATCTGATGACAATATGTTGAAATAAAACATGTGGATCTCGAATCGAAATATAGAAATTAAATTCCATATTTGATATTTGAGAACCAAAATTTTAAATGAATATAAACTGCCAAAGGCCCATGAGTCAAATTTTTTATTCCTGAAAATGTTGAAAACTCCATTCCGTTAAAAATCTTCTCTACTTCAAATAAAAAAATTCCACAGAGTCTGGTGGATATTGAATGAAAAAAATCATATCGTCACGGATTCCACGGGTCCACTGAATCTCTTTTTACCCACAACAACTTATTAAACTTTAAAAAAGTAACTAATCACTATTAGTAAGGTAATTTCATACAACAGACTTGAGTTTAATTATTAATTATTAATAGAGATTAATTTCATGGCAAGACTCGAAGTCCGAGTTGGAAAAAAATACGAAAATCTCAATATTTAGGCATTTTTATTTGTTAAGGGTATTTTTTCGTACTTCGACGGGGTTTGAGTCAATGGGATTTTGCATGGAGGTTGGAAATGGTGCTGTTAGAATAGTACCCTAATAGTTTCATGGCAAGACCCGAAGTCCGAGTTGAAAAAAGTACGAAAATTTCAATATTTAGTCATTTTTATTTGTTAATAGTAGTTTTTCGTACTTCGACGGGGTTTGAGACAATGGGATTTTGCATGGGGGTTGGAATAGTATATTTCATTACCAGTCCAGAAAAAAGGATTTTTCCGTGCGCGCGTGACAAATTCTCGTGTGAGGCGCAGCGCAGCCGAGCACGGGAAGTCATGCAAGAACGGAAAAATCCATTTCTGGACGTGTAATGAACGATATTTTTTATTATACTTATCTGAAAACGATAAAAACAGAAAATTCCCATTTTTTAAAATGACATGAATTTTACAGAAAATGAAATGTCAAAAAAGGCACAGTAGTGAGCATTGAAGGTAGGACACCCAACTCGCAGGTCTTGTCATTTTTCGCTATTTTGGGTGAATCAGTATTTTCTTTATAATGGATTTTTTTTTTTGTCAAATATGACAATCTCTGTTATTGCCGTAAGTATAGCTGGTGAGTTCCTTTTACAATAGGAAAAATCGGGTGTCCCACTTTCAATGCCCACGACTGTACATAGGTAAAATGATGGTTGTCACAGAAACATTTCGTCGTTTTTTATTTTTCGGGGTGCATTTATAATAAGATGTCTTTGTTCAATTTTTAATGAATGACAAGGATGCAATAATGCAATATTGACTGGCGTCTAATCTGCTCAGCGCACGGAAACAGAGATCGGGAAAAAATTTCCGTGCGCTGTTCTGGAAATGTCACCTTTACTTTATTGTTGAGACAGGTGGAAAAGAGGTGTTTTCAGGTAAGTATAATAAAAAAAAATTGTATGCAATACGTGCGTAAAGCACCTTTTTTCACTCATGTACCTTCGGCTCGTGCGTCAAAATTCACATTCGTGAAAAAAGGTTCACTTTACACACTTGTTGCATAAATAACTATTTTATATCTTACTAATTATTTTTCAAATCGCCTAGTTACCCCGGCAGTTTTTTCACTATTTAGCCTTTTTTTTTGTTTAAGAGCCAAATTATGGACTGACTGGTAAACGTCTAGTTGTTACCTAGCAGGTACTTTCTATGCACTAGAGAACAGAAAGTACCTGCTAGGTAACAACCAGACACTTACCAGTTGGTCCATAATTTGGCCCTAAGAATTGAATAAACCTATCAGAATAGGTCATATTAAAAATAATTAAAAAAAAAAAACGTGTTCATTTAAGGTATTAAGGTAAATAATAATAGGAACAGGAAACTGCCTCTTTTTCTGCGGTATTGAAATAAAATCCAAGGGAGGAAATGCACATTTCTCTGGAGGAAAGTATGTAAATGCTCAAGATTTCGAATGCTCATTTTCAATATATTTCTTGACATTTTGAAGCAAAAAGCCAGAAGAAATTGTTGAAAATCTAGAAAGGGGTATCACGTATTCGTTTTAGTTCAAGTTCAAGTTCACATGTTATGATTGATCATTGAATTTATCGAGGAATTTATAGAACTAGAACTCATGAAATTTGGTATACACGCGCCACAAATTTTCCTGAGCAGATTACCTTCACGTAAAGGAGCTTGAGTGTGAAAATAGGTAAGAGGATTAACCTACTTTTAATGGAATAAACGAAACCAAATAGTAAGACATATAGGAAATTTGAACTTTATATTTATACTTATATATACAGGGTGTCCCACTGAGGCGTGCATTTGCTCGATATTGTGTGAGGGTGAGTCATAAACAAAGCTATTGTCAAATCGGCCAGTAAATACCCGAGTCAAGATAGCATTTGACCTAGACAAAAATAATATAAAGCTGATTTTTGGTAGAGATCATGCCTGAGGGCTAAATTACAACATACTAAAAGTCCTGGCCAATTCTCTTTCCGCAACCCCCCTTTTTTCGCCCCCTAACCCCCACCCTTTTAATATTTTGGTGATTTTCTCGAAAACAATCCAGTTTAAGAAAAAATGCCAAGAGAGCATTTTTGAAGCTGACAAAATTTCCCTTGTAATGACGTATTATGAGGCTATATAATACCACGTGATACGCACCAGTGGCGTATCAAATAAAGGGTTACTTTTAAAAAATATACTTTTTGCTATTTATTCTGTTTTTTTGATCTAATCATATTTTTTCTAGAAGAAACATATTTTACTCGAAAACGACCATTAAAAGGTAGTCTACTTGCGAATCTATAAGAAATTTATCGCAATTACTTCAGCCAAAAAAAAATTAGAAGTTCATCCGAGACTTCTCAGCTATCAATTTGCTAAATAACAGGTGCGCCTAGCGCCCCGCGCGACGTTGAGATAGGTATCTTTTTTTTATCTTGACTGCGCTTGTGCAACAGAGTCCAATGGGAAGCGAGTTTGTCACGTGTTGCGTCATATTTAAATTCAGGGTTGGGACTCTGTAACGAATAGAGACATTTTCTCTATTCTCATTTCTCTATCTAACAAAAACCAGCTAGAGTGACAACAAACATATTGATATTTAGCAGATCGTATGGATCATGGCTTCTGAATATAACGAACTAGAATGATCTCCTTAATTCTTTATTCTTAGTTGAAAGTTAGCCAACTTACAATTTAATTTAATTTCTTAATTTGAGGTATAAACGACAGCTTCAAATTATGGAGATTTACCATTAAAATTTTTAGTTTAGTTTGATTCTCAATTTAGTTGAATTCTTAATTCAAAAGTATAAACCAGGCATCAGGCATAATTGGAACTAATACTCATATCATCTACTTTATCACTTCTGAACGCACCGCAGTCTCGTTTAGTTGAGGGTTTTGTACTTGACATATTCGTTTGCACTTTCATTGTGCGATGTTGCCGGATGGAACATTTATCAAAATAAAAGTGCAAGCCATGTTGAAAGACACTTGAAAGCTCTTCTCTTGTCTGATTTAAGGAGTTGTAAAACACTTGACACTATATCATTTTTTTAATGGGTATAATATTCGATTTTTATTGTCTACATTCATTCTGCAACAATACAATCTGGCTACACTGCAACCCACTAGTTGCGCGCGCATGGCGTGTTTTACTACTTCCTAACTTCTCTTCATATAAAGTTTTTCCTATTTATGCGAGACAGGTTAATTGCCTAATGTGTCATATTTTTCTATATTGTTTAATAGAAGGTGGAGAAATGTGTTTTGTGTAAACTGCCACTAAGTGAAGATGTTATTACTAAAGTTGGTGAAAAAATACTGAGAACATTACTGACTGCTAGTGTTCGCTTTTTGTAATGGTTTATGTGAAATTTTTAAAAATGTAAAATCAAAAATAGAAGTATTACAGCCGGAAAACAATCATATAAGTACATATATATTTTGATAAAAGAAAAATTTATGTCTGAAGCTGTCGCCAGAACTGTAGGGTGGAAATTGAACAGCAGTTTTAATATTTTTGGTTCTAGGGGGTCATTCTATACATCAATGGATATGCAATTTTATCACCTATAAAAAAATTGTTAACGATATTTTTCGCCAAGCTTATAGTTTTTGGTTAAAATCAGTAAATTCGTGTCATTCAAGAACTTTCAATTAATCTTGAGGCAAACTTTCTTTTGATATGCCACTGGTGCATACCACGTGATAATATATGGGCTCGCAGTACGTCGTTGCAAAGGAAATTTTGTCAGCTTCAAAAATGCTCTGTTGACATTTTTCCTTTAAGTGGATAGTTTTCGAGAAAATCACCAAAATATTAAAAGGGTGGGTTTGGGGGGCGAAAAAAAAAAGGGTTGCGGAAGAAGGATTCTCCAGGACTTTGAGTATATTATTATTTAGCCCTAAATTATGATATATACCAAAAATTAGCTTTATATTATTTTTGTCTTTGCTTTTCTCAAAATTTGAACTATCTTGAGTCGGGTAAAAATTAATGTAAAATATTTTCAACTTTCTTAAATGACTGCTAAGCAAGCGAGTAGATACTACAGGGTGTCTCAAAACGACCCAACAATTTTAAATGAAATTCAAAACAAAGCTGTTCATTGTTATTACCGTTTATTGCTGTTAATCTCAAGACGAAAATAGTTATTTTCCTAACAAGTGCGCAAAGTGACACTTTCCCACACGAAAAAGCAGTTAGACGAACGACGCGAAGCGGAGTTCGGATAAGCTTTGAGTGCGGGAAAGACACTTTGCGCAAGTGTTAGGAACAATACTTTCTCAACGAGCGTTTGAAGATTTGCATCCAGAGCAGCTGTACCTAAACTTTCTAAATTTTTCCAGATGCTCAAAATTTTCTCTTCTAGTTCAATGTGTTGTGTTTTCAATTTTTTTTCAGTGATCAGCTTGACTTTATTTGCAACATTAGTTGTGCTAGCTAGGTTTAAGGAAAATTTGAACAAGTCGTTAAGTTTGTTTTTCCTTCCAAATTTTGTCATGCAGGAGTATA